GTAAAAAAAAATAGTCAAAAAAAAAAAAGAAAAGAAAAGGGTCGGTAGAGCTTGAAAGAAGGGAAAAAAGCAAGGCTTGGGTTGGCATCCTGGCCTCAATTGGTTCTCCCCTTTTTTGGCAGATGGATTTCGTCGAGTACGTAAATGAACGACTTGCTGAGGCCAGGACGTAGTTGTCAAGATGCCATGGAAGCTCTGGCTAGAGGCATTAGAGGCAAATATGTGCTTGACACCGACATTGCGAAATGATTTGATGACAAATTGTTTTGAGGATCAGTAAGGGGGGAGGGGACTTTCGAAACCTACTCCCAAATATAATGCACCCTCATGATGAACGTATTGAACCGGAAATATGGCTTCTGTACGAAAATCAGGGAGGGTGCTTTCATGTTGAGGGAAGACGGGAGCTTGACTATGAAAGGCAGGCTGGCACAGAATTCTGACGTCTTGATCTGGTTGGCGGATAATAATTGATTATTGATGTACTACCTAGGCTACCAGAGTGGCCCGGGGCCACTTGCCCGGACGAGGCTAAAAAATAGAAAAAAAATGAAAATTTATTTTTTTAATTTTTGTTTCAAAAGTTGTTCAGTTTATTTTTCTGCATAAAATGAATTTTTTTTCAGGTTTGTTAGATTTTTTGTTTTTTATTTTTGCCAGGACCTTCCCTGGTCCTTGCACGGCCGGACCGCCTTGGAAAACAAGGTGACCCGGGTGGACCAGCTGGTAGCCTATTATACTACTATTAATCGAAATAATAATAATACCCCTTTGGCCATTTTTAACTTGATGTTCGTGGCTGCAATTTTGGCGTTTTTAAACTTCTTTTAATTTGAAATCGTCAGGATTTACTGGGTACCCACCAGTAGGGCCCACCTGAGGATTTTGGTTAGAAAAATGCCGAAATTGCAGCCAGAAATGTCAGTTCAATAGGGCCCAAAGGCTAGGCTACCAGAGTGGCCCAGGACCATTTGCCCGGCTAGGCCCAAAAAAAAAAAAAAAAAAAGCCCCTTGTTTGTTGCCCTCGTCTCCCTCTCTGCCGACGCTTACGTGGGCAGTTTCTGTTTGTCACAGCCCCTCGTTTGTTGTCCTCTTCTCCCTCCTCTGTGTACGGTTCACCGGGCAGCTCTGTGTGACGAATCTGACGGTAATATTCTAATAAAGATAGTAATATTCTACAAATAATTATTGTATTATTAAAAAGATCATGAAAATAAGTGTATTAGATTAAGTGTATATATACTATGTACTCAACATTGTACTAGATATTGTATATTGACTACATTCTTAAATCAAATTGAAAATTAGATCTATATAATCAATTCAATCAAGTAAGATTCATATCAGTAATATGCTAATCAATCAGAAAATATTATATATATATGTTAATTTTATTATTTATTTATTTCTGGTAAAGAATTTCGATGTTACCCTGAGGCAAACCTTGTTCAGTTTATTTTTCTGCATAACATAGTTTGTTTCAGTTTTTTTTCTTTTTTCTTTTTTTTTCTTTTTCGTTTTGCTGGGACCTCTTTTGGTCCTTGCATGGCCCGGCTGCCCGGGCAAACAAGGTTATCCACTGAGAAGCCTCCCCATAACCAAGTTACTATGGTGTCTCCTACAACAGGTATTGCGCTAGCTAAACTTGTAATTACAGTAGCTCCCCAAAAACTCGTTTGTCCCCATGGCAACACATACCCAATAAAAGCTAGGGCGGTCCGGCTGGCAGGAACCCGAGCAAACAAGGTGATCAGGGCGGTCCGGCTGGGACCCCTTATTAAGTTATTGTTGCATTTTGAGATGTGTTGGGATCAACTCCATTGAATGAATCTCCTGCTAGCACGTGGGACGGGATGCTTCACCGCCGCCACATTTTAGTCTTTCTAGATTAAACATATGGCAGTGAGTGTATCTTTCCATGTTCTAGGGGAACATTCATTCTCTCTCTCTCTCTCTCATGCAAAATGAGAATGAATCTTCCGTTAGAACACGGCGAGATACACCGCCATATTTTTTGTCTACAAAAAGACAACAATATGCAGTGTATCTTCCCCTGTTCTAGCGGAAAATGAGAGAGGGGAACATTCATTCTCTCTCTCACATGCAAAATGAGAATGAATCTTCCGCTAGAACATGGCAAGATACACCGCCATATTTTTTATCTACAAAAGACAACAATATGCAGTGTATTTTTCCCGGTTTTAGCGGAAGATGAGAGAGAGAGAGAGGTATTTTGGCCACCAATCACGTAGCATTCTGTTGGGGTCTAGGGTAGATCACACAACGAAGGGAAGAGTATGCAAAGGTTGAAAAGAGAGAGAGAGAGAGAGAGAGAGAGAGATTCGGCCCAACGGCTGGGGGGGTGTACCGAAAAGATGTAGTTGGGCCCTATGAAAGTTGGCATGTATGGGGGTATTTTGAACAGATGGACCCATAGCAGGTAGGGCATATTGCAAAGCTAGTAGGTCCAACTGTGCTCTGCGGGGCATTTTGCAAATAGTACCACATGTCCACATCTTTAGGGGCATTTCGGTATATATCTCAACTTTTGGGGGCATACACAAATTTTCCCATGTACAGGGTAACCGGCGTTCGGGACGGGCCGAACTCCCGAACCCGAACACCCGAACGTATGGGACCCCTTGGGGATGCGTTCGGCCGTTCGGGCCGGACG